ATTTTTTGTCTGTTTTATAATTTTTTTGACGTTCTTGAAAGTGATTCCCTAAATCTAAGTTTTGAGTTTTCCGAGGCCCGTAACTTTTGTCGATAAAGTTTGAGCGTAGTTACAAGTGCAAAAGATTTTCCCAAGTTGCATCTGAAAAAAGTTAAAAAGACGGTTGAAAAAAAATGTTTATGAAGCAAGGGTGTGGAAAAATCCACTGCTAAAGCAAAGTTCAATTCTTTTCTCAAAAACAACTATTTTGTAGCAATTTGACTTGTGTCGTTTTTGGATGTTTCCTCCCCTGTTTCGAAATAACTGTGCTCGAACTAAAAAAAAAGTTGAAGGCTCTCAGAAAATTTTTGGACTTTTTGAGAGCCTCAAAATTTCTACGTTTTGAGTTTTTCATCAAAATAAAGGCGTATGGAATGCTTTTTAAACATGAAATCTGGAATGAAATTAACTTTTAGATGATTCCCAAAACCGGGCTTCTGGATTGACCACCTAATCTCAAAATTGACACTTTAGTTTTTGAGTGAAGTCAAAAAAATGGGCGCAGCCGAATGTGCCAAAGCAGTTTGCGAAAAATTTGAAATTTTTCTAAGCAGGCTGTTCAGGCAAAGAAACGTCAAAAATTTCAAGTTATTTCATAGAGCTAATTGAACTGCAAAAAATAGAATTTTTAGGAAGCAAGCTATTCAAGCAATGAAAAATTTATACATCTCGCAGTTGTTTCCATAGCTCGGATTGTTCAACAAAAAAAGTTATTCAAAAAAACTATTCAGGTAAAGCAACTTTAAAAAAATTTCGTTTTAATTTGTAGAATGAATGGGTTTTCAAATAACTAAATTTTTCTAAGAAAAGCGTTCAAGCAAAAAAAACTTTTTTTTAATGAAAAAAATTGGCACACGAAACGTAGAAAATAATCTCACCAAGTTATTACAGCGATGCTCTTCCAAAATAACTCGAAGTTATTTTCATATCTTGGATTGTTTTCCCAAAAATTAAAAAATATTCAAGAAAACAATCAAAAAGCTGAAACTTTCAAAAATTTCAAGTTATTTTGGAACGAGTCAGTTTGTAAACAATTCAAACCTTTCTAAAAAGATGAAGCTTCAAAATATTTCAAATTTTTCATAAAGGGAAACCGAAACAAAAAAAAATAAAACATTTTTGGAGTCATTCACCAGATAAAATTTGAAAATTTTCAAGTTATTTCATAGAACGAATCGTTTTGCATGAAATTGGAGTTTTTTTTAGCAAGTTATCAAAGCGATGATGTTTCGAACAACTATTTAAAGTTATTTGATCAGTCAAGTCAGTGTTTATAGCTGGGGTTTATAGCAGTCAAGTCATAAAAAAGTAAAGTTATTCACGAAAGCTATTGAAGTGATGAAACTTGAAAAAAAATCAAGTTAATTCAAAGAACGAATCGGTTTTTAAAACGTCCAATTTTTTCTAAGGAAACTATCAAAGCAATGAAGCTACAAAATTTTTTAGAGAGCGAGTCGGCTTCAATATTTCAGTACTTCAAACTGAAAATTTGTTCGCGAAAAACAAAATGATCTCTAAGCATGGTAACGAAATGAAACTTTTGAAAATTTTTTTTGTCTTCATAGCTTGGATTTTTTAGCGAAAAAGCTTAGGTTTTCAAGCGAGCTATTGAAGTGATGAAATTTTGAATTCTAAAACATTTTGGCCTTTTCTTGAATAATAAGCTTAATTTTTTTTTAAACGTTGCCTTCAACAAAGCTGAAACATTGCGTTCAGTTAAATATTCGAAACAATCGAAAATATGATTACGTCAAAAAATTTCGAGTTATCAACGAAGGATCTGGATCAAACGGTGAGGGCTCCATGTCACATTTAAAAGCACGAGATTGAAAAAATTACAGAAATTTGAATTAATTTCTACTTTTGCACAAACGTTGTGCAAAAGTAAAACCTAATTCAAAATTTGGCGATTCGTTTTTAAACTCGTGCTTTCGAGTTTGACCTAGAGCCCTCACCGCTTGATCCAGGTCCTTTGTTGATGACCCGGATTATTTAGGGATAATCATATTTTTGATTGTTTGAAATGAAACAGGTTTAGAAAAAACGATTTGTTTATCTTATCAAGATTTTTAAATCTTTTTTTTGAAAAGTTGACAATTGATTTGAATCAATCAATGCAAATGAGTCCGTAAAAAACTTAACTTTTTTTAAATTTTCCAACTTTTTTTTGAAGTTGTGATGTTCCAAAGAATGTAAATTCTGTGTGATTGGTTCAAAGTATTTCATACAATTCTGTAGTAGTTTTTTGTTGTGTTTGCAATATTTTAAGAACCTTCGATTGTTAAAAAGTTAATAAGAAGGCAAATTAAATGTTATATTTTTTATAAACTCTTGCAATTTTTTTTCTAATGATTTATCTTTTCAATTTTTGTATTTCAAAAATACGGTATCAACAAAAACGCAAATTTCAATTTTAGATTTTAACGGTTTTTGAAAAAAAATATGTTGAGTCGACTTTTTTGTCAAAAATTTGACAAATCTGCAACATTAAGCATGTTCTGTGTTCGTAATTGCAGAAAAAAATAATCGAGAAAACGCAAAAATAGGCGAAATAACTTTTTCGACATGACTTTTGTGCTGTGTTCTTCAAAGTTGAGTTTTTCAGATTTTGCATTCGAATAAATCAAGGTTCAACACTTCTACAACCTTGATAAAGTAAAAGGAAGCATTTTTGCGGAATCCGCAGCATTGCTACTTTTCTTTAATCTTCTCTGCTACTTTAGATTCCATAAACAAATAGCTAAAACATTTTACCACTCAAAGTTGCTCCAAAAATAGGCGATTTTGCGGAATCCGCAACAGTCGTTGAGGAATCCGCAAAAGTCTTTGCAGATTCCTCAGCAGTCGTTACGGAACCCGGAACGGTTTGTGGAATCCACAAAAAATCATCAAAGTTGTGTATAGCAAAATTGACCTGTTGCGGAATCCGTCACTGTAAGCAAAATCCGCAAATTATAAGTGGAATCCAGTTACATATGTAGTAGCGCTCTATATTATATGTTTTGCTAACCAGGTGGGCACCAGCAAGTTCAATCTCAATTACTGCTAATAGTTAGTTGAACAGCTACCATTTGAAATACCAAGCGTTCGATCTCATTTCCTGCCATCAAACTTTTAACATGTATCAGGATTTTTCTCTGGAGTTCAGGAACATACAGACACAAACTAAGCGCCTATCCAGTGTACAGTTTGGCCTCGTTATGTTTAAACTCTAGTTATTTTCATTGGTTTGTACAAACAATTAGTAACCCTTCCTTGCAAAATATAAACCTAGATTGTTGCTAATCCTTTTCAATAGTTCAATGGTGTAACAATCTTTTTTCCTATTGACGATACCAAAGTCTTTTGAATTAGATCTCAGTATAGATCTTAAAACACTTAAATTTAATTTTGAATTAAAACAAAAGATTGTTAAATAACACCGAAAAACTTCAACACAGAGGCAAAGCGGAGCTTCGCTCTACTTGCGATGCAAAAAACAATAACTATTCATTAAAAAGATTAGTAAAAATTGTTTCAATTTATTCACGTTTTAGAGAAAAATTCGATAGCAAGAACCAAAAACTCCATACCAAATAAGCTTGCAGAAAAAAATGAAATAAAAATAATCGAATTCATTGTTAACTTAGTTTTCTGTATAGTTTCCCATTTTCTGTATGCTTGTTGGTTGAGCCCACCCTGTCTGGTTGTTTATTTCATTAAAAAACTAGAAACATATACTACAGTACAAGCGTCAACGAAGAAAAAGAAAAAATCCGCAATTGCTTCAAAACACTCAAGAGAAATTGACCTATCTCGCTGACATGACAGAAAAAAAAACTTTGAAAAACTTTGAAGTAGGAATAATCTTACCGGAGTGATATCCAATCTGAAACAATTTTGCTGACAATTTGTCATTCTTTTCATTTTTTCACGCTTTTGTTCTGGAAAATAGAATCAAATGCCTTAAAAAACTTATTAAAAGCAAGCGATTACAAGCGGCAATCGCTTGTACTTTTATTGTACAAGCGATTGCCATTTGTCTTTACAAAATAAAATAGCATCAATTGTTGAGTTAAATGGTCAAAAACCAAATTGATTAGATAGTCAATCGTTTGCTTGAGCAACAGTTTTCGATAAAAGTCTTGAGCTCGGAACCAACAGTTCCGAGTATTGAAAAACCAAGCAAAAGAATATCGAAGAATGTCAGGATCTTGTTTTTTACATTTAAGTGACAAGCAAAGATTATAAACAAAAAATTGAGTCGAGTCTCAGTTTAGGTTTCTTTTCATTCATATTTTCATACACATGCCGTATTTTCAGTCTGTTCGTTTTTGTGGGCACATAAGGGTAGATTATTTTACCTGCTTTATCAAAGAAGCAAATATTTTCAATGACTCCCATCAAAAAATTGAGTGTTAACTATTTAACTCTCAAGGTGAATTTTCATATTTCTTGTTTCGATATTTTTTGTTTAATTAATGCTAGGAATCAGGCCGTTTAGATTTAAAGCCGACACCCAAAATTATAATTTTTGTGAAGAGTTTAATTCGAATAAAAATCGATTGTGATATTTCTTAAAATTCTGTTAAAACTAAACCAAAATATTTAGCGAAAAAGTTAGACTTTTATATTGGTAACAATTGAAAATTGAGAACTTTTTGATCAGTTCCAGTTATTCCTTTTGTTTTTGTCATCAACTCCAAATATTTTTTTTTCACAAAAAATTTATTGAGTTGTTAGCTCAAATTGAGATTGAATTCTTAGACTAAAGATGCAGATTTTCATTTTGCTTTTTGCAATATTTTCTGAAAAAAAACAACCTCTAGAGCGCGAGCGCATGCTGAATTTTTATTAGCATTCTTGTTGTCTTGTATAATGTGTTAACTAAAAAACTGAATATTTGAACTTTTTTTCTGATTAAAACATGATCAGAACAAGCTTGAACGAAAAAAAAAACTTACTTGACGAATTTTTCTTACCGTCTATTCCGTAAAATGAAACATTGAGAAGGTTAGAATGGAACTGCCCGTTGTCAATTGCATCGTAGAACTGAGGACACACATTATTGATAGATCCACAAGCCAAGTTGAGAGTCCTCCACAGCGCATGGAACACAGCCTCGACTGCGATTATTACAAAAGGAACCTTGTCATCCTGAACGAACGACGAATCGACCAAGTTCTGTTCATTCGTGCAATTAGACAATGCCTCGTATCGATTATTGTACACCGAGTCCAAATTCTGCTCATTCAATGGTGGGTTGCATTGAAAATACTGGTTCCAGTACTCCAGAAGCCAAGGATTTGGGTCATCGCGAGAAGGCCGACGGTTCTTGAGGTATCTAGTAAAGTCTCGGCTTTCGTCGGCTTTGAGAGTGATAGTGATTGCTCCGACAGCTATTTTAGACATTGCTGACTTCTGTTTACCCCACGCATCTGGACCCACCCAGACAATTGGACGTTTGAGGTGTCTTTTAGCTTCATCCAAGATGTGATTTGTGTCTTCTAGTCCAGTGAAAAGGACAATGACCTTAACTCTAGTGTCTGAGTTGACCTTCTGGAAAAAGTTCCGAAGGGACTCCCGGGGTTTGAGCTGGATATCTTCGGAGATGCAGATGTTTTTCAGCCCTGCTTGTTCTCTAAACATCTGGATCCCCTTTTCTCCGTATGTACCCTAAATTCAGCCTTAATTTATTTGTATTGGCATGATTTCAGATGATGAAAAAAAAGAAGACCTTAACTAGGCCGATTATATCTTTAATTGCCTTTGGTGCTATGATACCGTTACTTTGAAGGGGTGGCATAGTTTCAAAATAACGCCTTTCATGTCAGCGACTGCTAACAGGTTTTTTTTTTCAAAAAATTTCATCTTGTTTATAATTCAACGTTGCCTTAATTTATCGGAAAATAGATGAAGTCCATGTTTTGGCGCAAGTATAGTTCTAGATAAAAATTAGAGCTCGTTTTCTTTAAGAATTATGTATGACCTCAGAGGACATGACATGAACGTATGTCCACTTGAAGTGTGCCACAATATCCACCATGGCCGCCGCCTGGTACTTGTCGGGGGGCACAGTGCGGGCGAAGAATGGGTACTCCTTCTTGTCACTCAGCCCATGCCCAGTAGACGCCGGACTCACCTAGGCAACCAAAATTCTCCTAAAGTCAAACTTCAGGCAAAGTTTCCGGCGTTGGCCTGACACTCTTCTCACTAATTCGAAATGCTGTGATGCGATCTGGATTCGGTAGCGTTTCTTTTACTGGTTTAGAAATCCATTGTTGTAGAGTGGGATACTAGAGTTTGTTTTACGACACAAATTTTTGGCCGACCAAAAGTATTGTTACAGAAAGTGCTCATCGTCAATATCGCGTCCCATCTTAAAACTATACTGTCAAAATATTTCAAGAAATCCCCCAAAATGGCGTTTTATTTGGTGTCAAATGACTAATAAAGTTTCAATTGACGATAAATCAAGACCAATATTTTCCCAACCTGTGAAACGTGAAACAACCCTAACAAGTTGGCCACTTGAATTGACACTGACGATGAACTAGCTCCTATGACTGCGGGAAAGGGCTCTGGTTTCTGGGAAGGCTCCGCCACATACACAAACTTGCCAGACACTGTTCGCGACAACGAGGCCATTATGAAATCCAGGGACTGTTTCTGGGCATGGGCCGGAGAACCACAAGTGTCCTTGATAAGGGCTCCGACCTTGACCCCTAGTAAGCTATGCACGTGGTCAAGTTGGAGTTTTTCGATTGCGTACTTCATTGCCTCGATTCTTTGGATCCCTCGTGAAAATTGAATCGTATCTTTGCAGAACGATTTTCCAGATTTTTCGCTTTCGTGAACTGGAAAAAGCCCGCCGAGCATAATTTTTCCGGGCATGTAGAAACTTTGAGGGTATGAATCCAAATCTGATTTAAGATATCGGTAATATGAAGTTAAAATAAAGATAACAAGCAAGTACCGAAACTTCATTTTGTGACAAACAAACTAATAAGAGCTTGACGGTTTTGTAATTACATTTTGGAGAGCGTGACAGATAAACAAAAGCTTTTAAATTCAATCATTATTGAGCGTTATTTTTTTATTTTTTAATCGAATGATCGCCTTCAATTACTTTTAGTTTTTGCATTTTTTATTGAATTATCACCTTCAGTTAATTTTAATTTTCTGATTACCTGATCAAAATGCTTGACTAGATTTTTTAAAGGATTTATGGAGACTAGCACGACACGGCCAAATATTTAGGTTGAACTTTTTGTTCTGAATCCAAAGCTAGGGTTTTAAACTTAAATAACCTAAACGGCTAGAGCTTAAAATTGAAATGTCATTGGTAATACAGGATTAGGGGCGAATAAAGTGGGGGTATTGATATTGTAACGACAGGATTACGACCGAGTGTTTTCCACGGAGAAATATTATTTGAACTCTCATAGACCATTTTTGGCCAAAAGTCTTTAGATTCAAATCAGAAGTTAAGCAACCATGGCTTAGAACAATGATATTAAAAGCAGCGGTTGCTCTATCGACCCACTATTTGAATCACATAAAAGGTCATTGAATTATATTTTTTTTACAATATATATCAAGTTATTTTGTAAAGGAGGCTTACAATCAGTAGAATAAATAACGATTTTAATAATGTCAATTTTCAAAAAACTGCCGTTTTCGTTTTTTGGTGTGATTTTCGAAAGTTGAATCCAAAAATAATTTAAATTTCGGAGACTATAATTTGCTATATGAGGCGATAAACTTTTGAATTTGTCTCATTGGCTGTTTAATGAACCAAAAAATATATTTTCAGATTAGATATTGGGGAAAGCGAAATTTCAACCCGAAAGCGAAATTCGACCATAAAGCGAAATTTCAATCCAATAGGTCATTCAAGAATAGCAAAGTATAGAATTGATTAATTAAAACAAGATTTGCAGTGGATCTGCAAATCAGGCTTGCAAATAAGAAATTTGATAGGTTTATTAATCTTGCTATGATATTTGAGAAGAATGGTTTGTTTTCTTGATTGCCAATTACTGCATACCCTATGGAACTTAAGGGGGGGGGGGGGGGGGTAACTAACAGGGATTCAAGATGCTAGTTGGCAGTATCAATTAGGAAGGAAAAGAATGTCTCGAAAAAATTATTGCTGCTGAAATTACAAACTATGCCACACAAACGTGTATTAGGGCAGACCTCTTGTATGATAAAAAAGTGATTATTTATATTTTAATTACTACTGTAATTATTTTTTTCAAAAAATATGTCTTTTAAAACTCAAAAGCCAGAATAGAAAGAACAGGTTTTTAGAGAGAAACAATTATAATACGTGAAATACATCTCAACTTAATTGGATCGACGTCAATGATCAATTTAAAAGAACGTTCCGAGAATTTTTGAAGCAAAACACTCGAGAGCAAAAAGATAATAGAAATAATTGGGATCCAATCTTGACTAAAGGTTATCAAAATCACATCGACTGCTGAGTCCATTCCCCAATAACTTTCCACGTCACTGCAAGTAAGTCGACAGATAGACAAAAAGGAAAAGAAATTTCACTTAGAACCCAATAATTTGGGAACGTGAAGGAATTTTGGGCTAGAAGAGTGGCAAAGTAGTTGGAGTTTTCATCAATTTAATGGGCGCTTGTCATGGCTAGATTAAGTCGAGATAAAGACCCAAACAGGACAAATTTGGGTTTGCTCTTATTTTGAAAGAAGATTTTAGCTGATACTTCAGGCGAGCTCAAAACGAAAGAGAGAGAAAAGTTAACTCTAAAAAAGGCGAACATTTTTTGGGAACAAAATAATAGAGAACACTACAAGCGATCTTTTTAATCAACAGCTTACCTCTCAATAATGAATTGTTGCTTAAGAAGAGAAAAAAGATCGTCTATTATAGTACGACGCAATAATAATGGCATTAAACACGAAGTGTCCGGATGAATACTTGAATTTATTCACATATAGTTGAACCCATAATCAGTGTTCTGTGCCCTATATTTTCTACTTCTGATAATGGGTATTGTTCAGCATACACGTCTCAGAGCAGACTTTTTCGTACATCATTCTTTTACTATAACCTAAGAGTTAGTTTATTTAAAATTCGTATTGAAAAAATTGACCCATTTTTCCAAAATGTAGAAAATGAATGAGCAAACTCGAGATTGCAAAACCGATTATCTCAGTCGGTGTATTCACCTTTAAAATTAAACATTATTAATGTTAGTATCGAAGAATCATTGAAAACTTGCAGTTAAGAAAATGTGAGATTCTGAATCGAATTGCCGATGCGTTAATTGGGCTGAAGGAGCAACACTTATTTAAATTAGGTATTTGAACAGTTCCAGATGATGCATTTTGTCCATTTATTCTTCTCACTTATCAGTTCTGCAAAAAATTGATGCAAATTTTTGTAAAATAATTTTTGAAAACGAACATGTATTTCACATATTTTCTTCTCGATATACTCTCGATAGACAAATTTTCTCCCTGTCTCCTTCGTATTTTTTAGTGGAAATAAAAAAACGTCTTTTTTCCTTTTTGCCGTCAGCAAAAGAGCGGAATTGATTACAGTTTGTGGCAAATTTCAAATTGTGCCCAGAAAAGAAGTTTAACCAAAAAAAGTGTTATTCAATAATCAATTTCCAATCAGAGAACTTGGAACTGTGTGAACAAGAATACGTCACTGAAGATGGTGCTGAATCAATCAGTATCAACTTATCCATTCAATGAATATGAAAATTGCCCTAAATAGACCCAGTATTACCTCACTTGAATTGCATTGTAGGACAGTTGCTTAGTTTAAGACTATAAGGTATCAAAAATGACTTGAAAGATATCATTTTACCCTTGATCACACTTGTATTTAGTACATACAACCTTCCTACTCGATTACGTTACTTTCAACTTTTAAAAAAGTGCATATTTGAACTTTTAAGGTAACCACAATTCCTCTCTCCTGGGAGTAATAGCGATTTTGAATGAATTTACGACATAAAAACTGCTAATGGTTGCCCTTCTTATTTTCAGAAATTACGGGTTTCTTAGGCAATGCGCTAGAAAAACTAAGAGCATACTGTTTCTAACCTTTTGTTTTTCTGAAGGTTCGATTCCAAACCAAATTTGGCGTGGACGTGATCGTTGCAAAAAGCCTCACCAAAAACTTTTAATATCCAACCGTAGCTGTTCTGATTGCTGAGAAGTTAAAACTGGTGTATTTTTTTTGGTATTCAGTTTCAGCTTTTGTATGATTGAACTTACAATTTTATCTTTTCAAACATCGCAGCTTTTGTTTTTTTTTTGTGTGATTTTTAAGACTTGAATCTTGAAATACTTTGTGTATCTATAATTTGCTTGAGGCGATACACTTCATAATTTATACCACAGGCTGTTTAAGTAAACTAAAAATTAGTCTCAGATTGCATTAAAAAAGTAACATTGGGGTAGATCAATGAATAGAGTTGATGAACTGAAACAAAAAAAATATTGTGAAATCGTGGGTTGCAAATCATAAAATTGGTAGGTTTATTAATCAAATTACAATAGTTCAGGAGAGTGGCTTGTTTTCCTGATTGCCAATTACTTCATACCCTATAGAACTTAAAGAGATAACTAACAGGTTTCAAGATGCTCGTTTGCAGTATAAAATAGGAAAAAAGATTTTTCTCGAAAAAGTATCGCTGTTCAAATTACAAACTATGCCAAACAAACGGGTTTAAAGGTCTTTTTTATCATTCTATAATTGTAAAAAGAATAATAAGATTTGATACTCTTGAAAATTAAAAAGCGACGTAAAAAATAAAAGGTTTTCAGAGAGAACAAACTAGAAAACGGTAACGGTAACTAGTTCTAAATTAAATTAAATTGAAATCTGAATTGCAGGGCAAATTCGTGTTTTATGACAATGAGGTACCATAAAACGCTTTATGATTTTAAAAATATCATCATTACCAGGGGCAGATTTAGGGGGGTGGACGCCCCCCTCCCCCTCAGGGATTCGAACCCCTGCCGACCCAAAGGATCCCCCCTTTGGTACTTTTTAAGAAATCGGTTTTGTTGACAGACCCTAAAATTTTTCTAAAGGCGCCTTGGGCGCCAATATGTAGTAACTTTGAGGGGGAGCGCGCGCCAAAAGAAATCGCGTTTTTTTTCTGAAAATTTTCCAAAAAGTGCCCAAAAACGGTTTTTTGACGTGATTTTTCAAAAATTTGCACTTTTGAACATTTAAGGTAGCTAAAATGTTTCTCTAGGGTGAGATAACAAATGTGACATAAATTTACGACATAATATCAAATAAATAGCTGTTGGTGTTAAGCTCAACTTCTACTTACTTATTTTCTTAGTTTTTGTTTATTTGAAGGTTCAACCCCAAGCCTTTTTGAACCAAGCTAGTTGTTATGAATGCTTGAGAAAGAAACCCTGATTAGAGCTCATTTTCTATTCAATTTTAGTTTTAATTTGATTGATCATAGACTTTCATTTTGGTGCGGTTTTTGCTGATAACCAATCATGATCGATTTATTCAACTGAGATCAATCAAGCAATTCCCGTTCTGCGATGACTAAATCTTCCACACAAAAAGCGGCAAACAAACAAAACATAGGAACGTGTTGCTGTGTAAATCATCAGTTGACTAGAGGTTTTTAAGTGACGTGAAAACACTTCGAGATAATTCTAAAATTGTTTTTTTTTTGTTTGCGCAATCATTGCTTTAAGAAGACAACTCTCCAAAATTTGTCTTTCAGCTTTCTATCTATAGCACAAAATTTTTTCCGCATGCAACTTATTATACATTTAGTTGGACAATTGATTCAATTTAATTAGAAAAAGTTTAAAAAGGGATAAACTTTGACTAGACCGTTCATTGTTTTAAAATCAAATCAATTTTAAGTTTTTTACTTGAGAAATTTGATGTCCCTTATTCATTTGAGAATTTGCAGCATGATTTCATATGTTTGATAGCTGTTTCAAGTGATTATGAACATTGTGTCTCAAATAACTAAAGAACTATTCTGCCACGACAGAACGCGAGAAGAGAAGGCTCAATTGATCACTAAACCCATTATACAGACAAGACTGCTCGTATCAGGGCGAAGCCTTGAATGTTCCGACTGCCAATTAAATTGTCTTTTGGTGAATGAAATATTGACAAACTACAATATTTAGGTTGATAATCTCCAAGTGCTTAACTTTGAGTTGTTTATGGAACTAAAAAGACCAATTAGCTTACCTCATTTCAATTTGGAACAATTATGAGTGCGGATAATTTGCGATGAAGCAGGCAGTCTTCGCTCTACATCAATTGATGAGTTTTTCAAAAAAAAAGAACTTTTCTTTTCAAAATTTGAGATTTTTTTTTTGAAAATCAAACCGTATTAAGTACAAATTGATAAATTTCGCTCATAATAACAAAAAATTATAACAAATAGCCTGCTTTAAACACGGATGGAATCACCGCTAACGCGTTAATAATGCGAAATATATCGCTCGTAAATTGTCACAAATTGGGCAAAACAGCTATCGTTAAACCCCCACAACTTTACGAAAAATGATCCTAGAAGAAATTTTCGATTTGAGCTCAAGACAACAATACTTTTGAGATGACATAAAATATTCAGTCAAAAATGGCCAATTAAAAAGTCAAAACTGTTTAAAGAAAAAACCACCCGAGCACAAATATTTCGTCACTTTCTTCAAAAATCGGAGTAATTATAAATCTTTAGCCAGACGCTTTTAACAACAAGAACGAACTTTATTTTACAATTCACCGTATAAATTT